CCCCCTCCGTTGATTGAAAATGCCCTCAACCGCATCTGTTGCATTTCCCACACTTCTGCCCTCAAACCCCCTCCCACCAACAAAAATAAAGACAGAGTCCCCCTGGTCCTCATGTACCACGCCACCAACCTCCGCATCCAGCACATCATTCTCTGTCATTTCTGCCACGTACAATCCAACCCCACGATCAAAGAGATATTTCCCTCCCACCCCTATCTGCCTTTCGTAGGACTGCTCACTCCGTGATTCCCTCATCCACTCCACTCTCCCCACCAACCCCACCATCTTTCCCTGCAATAGTAGGAGGTCATACACATGCCCCTACACGCCCCTTCTCACCTCCATACAAGGCCTAAGACAATCATTCCATATCTGACAGGGGTTCACCTCCAACCTGGCCTAATGTACTCATTTCTCCCAATGTGGCCTCCTCTACATCGGTGAGACCAAACATAGGCTCGGTGACCAATTTGTGGAGCACCTACGCTTTGTACGCTATAAACAACAGAGGTCCAGAAAGGGGAGGGAGGTATCAGAGATGGTCCAAGTGAATTTGAGGTTGGGGTGAAAGGTGTTAGTAAAGTTGTTAACCATTTTAAACACTGCCACTCTCCCCCACCCCACCCCCTACCTGGGTGACATGTCCATCCTGGGCTTTCTCCAGTACGACAATAACACCACATGCAAACTATAGGAACAACACCTCATATTCCACCTTGGGAGCCTACAGCCTGATGGCCTAAACATAGTATTCACCAGTTTCAAAATCCCCCCACCCCCGGCCTCACCCCGTGTCCAACCCTCCCTCTCATCCCTGCCTCCTTGACCTGACACTACCTGTCCATCTTCCCCATCTATCTGCCCCACCTTCCGCACTGTCCAATCCCCACTACCCCTTACCTGCATCCATTTATCGCCATCTCACCTACCTTCCTCCAGCCCCACCCCCACCTCTATTTGTTTGCCAGGTCCCTTCCTGCTCCCCAGTCCTGATGAAGGGTCTAGGCCTGAAACATCGACTCTCCTCCTCCTCGGATGCTGCCTGACCTGATGTGTTTCTCCAGCTCCACACTATCAACTCGGACTCCAGCATCTGCAGTTCTTTCTATCTCCCTGCCCACATTGTTTGCAATTTTCTGAAATCTGTAATGCACCATCACCCTCCTCTTTAGATATTTCCTGTTTTAAGTTCATATTGGAATAATGATTGTTATCACCATGTTTTTATTCTGTTGGGTTCAAAATGCCCAAAGTGGAAACTGATGTAGCTACATTAGTCATGAAGGAATGTGATGGGTCAATTGAAAGACTTTGTACATGTTGTAGAGATTGAGGATACTAATGGAATCACAGCATTCTTGTAACTTAGTCTAACACAGCCAGGAGAGAGATAAACATGCAAAAAGATTACCCAGGGCAACTATCCAGCAGGTCTGGTTGGAGATGGGCGAGGATCTGTGTAAGCAGCATCACGACCAGTTTCAATGATAACTAAAACAAAGGTGTATATAGCTGATGATTTCTGTCTCAAAACCATTTACCAACACAAACGTTTACAGCCTCCTCCAGGACTTTGAACTATTCCCTACGCAAAATCACATTCTACTGCACCTTTTAAAAATAAAAAAATTTTTTTCAGGGAAGCAAGTGTTGATGCCATTTATTGCTAATTCTAACTGTTTCTTAGAAACTGGTGGTAAATCACTTTGTTGCGTACAACTTTCAGTGATGTGTTAGTCTATTTGAGAGCAGTTGGGAGTCAACTATGTTTCTGTGGGTCTGGAGTTACATATCAGCCAAAGTACAAATGTCCAATGTTCCCTCCATTGACCACAATCCATTTCTCGCATTCCATGTGTTCTTTGTAGAGTGGTTGTGAATCTGCTTGTGTCCTGCTCAGATTATTCCCAATGAATGTATACACAGAATGTAGAAGGAATGTTGATGAGGATGGCAGATTATTTGCCTTAAAAAGGAGATTAATGAAGCAGATGGACTTTTTGGACAATCCAATAATGAGCTTTTCATCCAAGTAATTGATTTTAAATTCCCATTCTAGGGATTGAACTCTTATCCATGGATCATTTGTCAATGCTTTATGATTACTGCACTAGTAATGTAGGTTTAGAATATCAGAAGGTGAATTTAAGGAGTCATTCTCTTCTAGGATCCGTTTTCCCCTCAGTCCTGTGATAAGACAATGGGAATAACACTTAAGAATCATAAAGCTATACAGCATGGAAACAGACCCTTTGGTCCAATTCATCTATGCCAACCAGATATCCTAAAATTATGTAGTCCTATTTGCCAGCACTTGGCCCATATCTCTCTAAGCCTTCCTATTCATATATCCATCCAGATCACTTTTAAACGTTGGAATTGTATCAGCCTCGTCCACTTCCTCTGGCATCTTATTCCATACACGCAACACTGAAAAAGTTGCCCTTTAGGTTCCTTTTAAATCTTTCTCCTATCAGCTTGAAACTACAAGACTTCTCTGCAAGAACGTGGATGTTCTGCGAAGCGGTCACCCAATCTATGCTTTGTGTCCCCCCAATGTAGAGGAGACCACATTGAGAGGAGTGAATGCAGTAGACTAGATTCTGGGAAGTACAGGCGAAGCGTTACTTCACCATTGTCGACAAGGCCTTCAACTGGGTCTGACCCATTTCCTGCACTTCCGCCCTCACCCCTTCCCTTCTCTCCCGCAACAGCAATAGGGTTCCCCTTCTCCTTACCTATCATCCCATCAGCATCCACATCCAGCAGACCATCAGATGCCATTTCCACCACCTCCAGCGAGATGCCATCACCAGACATATATTCCCCTCCCCTCCCTTGTCCGCCTTCTGCACGGATCATTTCCTCTAGGATGCCCTGGTCCACACTTCCTTCACCCCCAACACCCTCCCACGGCACCTTCCCCTGCAACCAGTGAAGGTGCAACACCTGCCTGTTTACCTCTTCTCTCCTCAGTATTCAAGGGCCCCAAAAATACCTTCCAAGTGAAGTAACACTTCATCTGCACTTTCTAGAACCTAGCCTACTGCATTCGCTGCTCATAATATAGTCTCCTCTACATTGGGGAAACGAAGCGTAGACTGGGTGACTGCTTTGCAGAACACCTACGTTCTGATGACCAAAAAAAGACCCTGAGCTACCTGTTGCTTGCCACTTTAACACACCACCCTGTTCTCTGGCTTGCTGCAGTGTTCCAGTGAAACACAGTGCAATCTGGAAGAAAAACACCTCATTTTCAACTTGGGGATCCTGCAGCCCTCCGGACTCAATATCGAGTTCAATAATTTTAGGGCTTAAACTCTCCCATGTCCTAGCACCCTGTCCACACACCAGGCCTTGTTATTACACAGCCAGCCATTACACTACCTATTGTTATTCACTCACAGTCACCATTAACAACTATTCACCCTCCGAGCCAGATCGTCATCAACTCCTTCGTCTATCCAACTGCTCTTCTGTCTTCAGGCTCTATCCTGTTGTTTACTCCCTCTCCCTATTTTTTGCATATAAACCAACATTTTCCCCAGCTACCATCAGTTCCGAGAAAGGGTCACCGGACCAGAATCATTAATTGATTCTTTTCTTGACAGATGCTGCCAGACCTGCTGAGCATTTCCAGAAATTTGTTTTTGTTCCTGATTTACAGCATCTGCAGTTTTTTTTTTCCTCCCAGATTTTATTCTGTAACCAGTGACTTCCCAACTCTTACAATCAAAGCACTGACCAATAAAGACAAACATACCAAGATGCTTACTTCACTATTCTGTTTATCTGCAACTTCACTTTCAAGGAACTATAAACTTGCACTCTAAGGTCTTTGTTCAGAAACATTCCCCAGGACCTTACCACTAAGTGTATAAGTCCTGCCTTGATTTTCCTTTCCAAAAGGCAACATCTCATTTACCCAAATTAAATTCCATCTACCATTTCTCAGACCATTGGCCTATCTGATCAAGGTCCCATTCTACTCCGAGTTAATCATCTTTGCTACCCAGTACGCCAATTTTGGTGTTATCTGCAAGCTTACTAACCATACCTCCTCATCAAAGGGGGTGATACCTTAACCTTTACTTCTTCCTACTATAGTGCATATTGTACTCTTGCTCTTAGTCATTATGTTTTTAAGAAATACGCTCATGCTAGCATTGCTACATCATAGCATGTGACCTGAGGCTACAAAGATCCCATCCTCCATCTTAGCTTGGATCATATGATGCATGACACTCCACAACAGACAGTGCTTCTAGTAATATTTGTTTAGTGTCAACTCAGATACTCATCTGAGTGAGGAATGTAATATTTATATAGGATAGTGAGTCATAATTAATGTCTTGAATTCTTCAATGCCATGATGCTCATGCTTAGTTTAAGTGATAGGTTAAAACACCCTCAAGGCAAATTCATCATGCCTAAAAATTTACATATTTTTAATATATTAGAGTGTTACATCTAGTTTTAAAATTTGTCTACTTATAACAATTTAGCAAAATATGATTTCAATAGCATATGCTTACATTTCAATTCTTCCCTAAAGTTTATAGGATCTAAAAACTTTCAATTCAGAATTGTGATAATCTACAGCCCTGCCTAATCATAGTCTTGGTATGTAACTATTTCCCAACAATGTATTAATTTAGACTGCCATTTATGTTGATATTTACTATGAAAGAGTCAACCAGTTGTTTAAAATTTTCAAAATTCAAATACTTCCTACAATATATTTCAACAAGAACTACGTTTTAAACTTGAAAACCCAAATTGAAAGCTACTTGCAAGTGGCAAAAAAAACTCAAAACTCACATTCAATACACTGAAAGTAAAAAAAAAAGTGTTTCAAACTGGATCACAAAGCACACAGCTGTGCAAAGTTTAGAACTTGTGCAGCAATTTACTTCAGTTGTTTGCACATTCATACATGTTGTGCAGGGTCTGAAAAAAATGTTGATACTGTAAAGTGCCTTAAGCACCACCCACTGATGACAAATCATATGTTGTGAGGAGAAAGGTTCAGGATCTGTAAGGAACAAGAGCTACCATCAGGTCTTCCTCTGTATCTGTAACAATCTTTTATCATATCTGTGTAGCTTGTACATAGTCACTGTCATACAATAAATTACATCTTGGAGAGAAGGGCCTTTTATTGTCCCTTTACCTCGCAAGATCAAGTAGGCCCTGTAGATCCCTACCATAAAAAAGTACATTTTTTAAAGCGAATGGTGGCAGCAAATCTCTTTTTGTACATGAGCAACCAAACAGAGCTCATTCAACATGAGCAACAATATGGATAGTTCATACAAAAAAGTGTGTTTTATCAAAACGCTATTTTGTTATTTGTGATATCCATTAACAGATACTTGATAGTGTACTTTAACTACTATCTTCATGTAAAAACATTTAAAATTGATACTGTAGATCTTTGGGCCTATGTGTATTCTTCATCATCAAACCTGCAACAAAGAGAAAGGGAAGACTGAAAAGGACAGGTTACAAAAAAAAAAATAATAATAATCACTTTACCTTCAAGAAAGTTATGAACAAAATCACACTCTTTACAAGGAAATTGGCATGTATAATTTACTGGTGACTTTCTCTTGTAACTTAGAATCACTTAAGGGATAGATGATACTTCAAACTGATTCCTTTACAGTATTGTTGTAAACTTTAGATGCCAAACCTACTATTTTCAGTTTGGTGGAAAGCTACTCAATAATCTTTCCAGCGTACCAGGACTGCTATTCTTCCAACAGTCAGTTCCTTGCTTTCATCTCGAACATCTGCTGAACTAGAATTTTGTGGGGTAGGTTGCTAAGTACACCCTGGTGGAACTGGTTATCATCACCTAAAAACATCTCAATGATGTTAGAATTCCAGTATTGCACCTCCCCAATAATTGCAAATATTGAACTCTGTTTGTGTTAAGCTGTTAATACAATTTAACTTTTTGTAGAAGTAAACTGTATCAATAAAAGTCTGTATTTCAAATAGTGATATGTAGTAGGAAATATTAAAAAAAGTGAAAATCTTCAAGTTCCAGTTCATTTTATTGCTGCATTTCAAACTGAAGAAGTGACAGGGTCTACCTCTGCCTGTTGCTGATCAGTAATTTGGAAGAACTTGATGGGATAAAATGTCAGACATAAAAACTCAAATATTCTGAGAAGGACTACACGAAGTATGTGAATATTTCATATGCAAACATGCAGTTTGAGCGAGTTGCTTTACCACAGGATATAATAGAAAACAGATTGCATGGAAAAAACGTTTGGAACTTTTAAAACAAAAAAGACAGAATTGTTTTGTATGCAGCTGTTGAGGCTATTTCAGTGATAACTGACATAATTACCTACAATTATAGGCCAAGCAGTAATATACAATTTACCTCTTTTCGCATCTTAAAAATTTACCAAAGATAGCCAGTTAAGATATCTAATGGAATGCTAGCTACAACTGTGCAAATTAAAAACCCAACAGGAAATGAAATAATAAGCCTTTATTGATGGCTTCTGCTGGCAGTAGCCAAAGCAAAATGGTGTACAAAACCCACCAAAATATAAATGCACTAAATGTACTGAAATTAAATAGGTTCAAAACTAAACTGGGAATCAATGTCTCAGTACCAAATGCCTACGTTTAGGTGTCGAGTTATCTAGCCATAAATTGCCATTAGGAAAATAAAATTTCATACATCAAGAATGCAGAGAAACAACAAATCTTCATCAAAAGCTGGTCGCTGCAACAAAGGCAGCCATAGGACATAGTTGTAAGAATGATGAAAATAGAAGTGTCATCTGATATTCTTTATTCAGATCTTAACTATTGAAATTATGGATTTTAAGCATTTGAAGTAAAACTGAGCCAAAAATATACAAAAAGCTTTGACAAATTGTCTTTCACTCATCAGGGCAATTCATGCCATTACCAATATTAAAGGGAAAAATATATAAACAGTGCTGATTGGTAGAGGTGCTGCCATGGGGAATAATGATGAATTGAAACAGTTAACTGCCATGATTTGTTTAAATTTAAAGCAGCCAGATTGGATGATTGGTCAAGATATTGTCATGAGAACTGAACCAGCAACTGGTCATCATCTGCTTTGTCAAGTTATTGAGGTGTAGCATATTCATTTCACTTTCAAAAAAGTGGGGCTCTGTATTTTACTATACACTGCTTTCAGTCTGTGAATGTGTACCACATTGCTATCCTGACTGAATTCAAGAATTAGTGTTCTTCTCAGTCAGAAATATTTAACAATTCCTGTCCAATTTCAAATGCTTGGGACTTGTAAGTATGGTTGTTTGGGTACTGTTAGTTAATACAGTGTCACTCTTTGGAACGTGCAGTGTACATTATAGCATCACAGCAATACTGAAATTCATTTGCCACATTACTCATTTGTGTGATGGGCAGAATGTCTTTCTGGCTTGACAGCAGCACCCAATTAGTGGAAACACCTCTTGTGTTGCTACTGCATAGTAGCAGCATGCAACAGCTAGTTTCACCTGTAATTCAACCTTTAAAAGGTAGTCCAAGGTAAACTGGCTCCCATTCCGCATTAAAAAAAGTGACAGCTTTTGGCCTATTCATAAACTTATGAATACAGGGAGAAATTCTCATTAAAAGGTGGCCATTATCCTGCAGGATAGCAATGATGTACCCTATTTCAGCATCAAGCTTGTACAGGAAACAAATGACTCACGTCCTCTTTATGATGTTATAGAAAAGGCCGATCTTCTGATGGGATTCCTAATGTTTCATCCACTATAAAAAAAAGTCTTGTGGTACACCATAATAGAGAAGCACTTGACCAATTTCTCAGTCGGGAGATGAAGGGCCACTCTATCTCAAAAGATGAATTTGAGCGCAGGATGGAGCCCATTAAAATTCAAGAAAGTTCTTGCTGGCAGCTGCAGATTCAAACACAGTAAATACATTGTTTGCATACCAGAAATATGCAAAGGGTAGGGATCATGCAGGCAAAGACATTTTTTCATGGAACCCAACAAAGTCATTTGTAAGAATTGGGTTGAACGGGGATCTTAAGACGACCATCTATTTGGTGTACAGCATCATTAAAACGCATGACCTCGACTGCATGAGTTGCTGAGTTCGTAAGTTCAAATGAATGCTGCTTTGCAAAATCAAAATTGCAATAATGTAGTGCTGCAGTGCAATTGCCTATAGTTTTTTTATTTAAAAAATTGTTACATTTCTGGCTTATTCAATGTTAAATGGCCACATGCTGATTACAACTCAAAGTCATGCTGCTTGGCAGTAAAATGTCAGTCATCATTCACCTCGTATAGTCTCCAAGGCAACATCTCTTCCATATCAATCCACTTGCCAACCAATATTCTCTTCCCATAGTCTACATGTTTTACCTTTTCATTGTTATCTTGCAAGTGATCCTGATGAGTACAAGACTGAAAGTTTCAAAAGTTTTTTTCTCACCCCCAGGAATACTCACATTCTGAATGTGAATAAGTCTATAGGAACAGTTATAATTTTCATTATTCATATGTGAGCAATGTTTTGTCAGCAAACACTCAACATTAAGTTATTCTTTAAAAATAAAACCATATTCATGGTGGAATAACTGATCATAAATTATATCATAATTGTCTATGGATGATTCAACCATGTTCTAAAACATAACTGCAAACAATTGTATGTTAATTGTGTTTAGTTAACAGTAATGTTTTATCCTCCATCAGACAGCGTTCTAACATTGACAATCAATATTTACTTTGAAACACGTGTCTCTTACAAATAGAAAGTACCAATTTGTAAAGGTAAGTATTATATAAACAAATATTAGTGCTGTTTCCTCAAAATATAATGGACTGTATTGATAAAGAAACTTCAGTGGAACTTAAGAATTTCTTCAAAAAACATTGGAGAAGACAAATAAGAGCCAGTTTTTAAAAAATTCATTCACAAGATGTGGTCATCAGAAGCTAGGCCAGCATTTATTGACCATCTCTAATTATCCAGAAGGCAGTTAAGAGTCAACCACATTGCTGTGGTTTTAAAGCTACATGTAAGTCAGACTGGGTAAAGATGGCAGTTTCTTGCTCTAAAAGGACACTAGTGAACCAGATGAGATTTTTCCTGACAATTGAAAACCTTTTCATGATCATCGCAAGACCATAAGACACAGGAGCAGAAATTAGGCCATTTGGCCCATCAAGTCTGCTCCGCCATTCAATCATGGCTGGTAAGTTCCTCAACCCCATTCTCCTGCTTTCTCCCCGTAACCCTTGATCATCAAGAACCTAAATCTACCACAATCTTAAATGTACTCAGTGACCTGGCCTCCACAACCTCCTGTGGCAGTGAATTCAATAGACTCACCACTCTGGCTGAAGTAGTTTCTCCTTATTTCTGTACTTAAAAAGTCTTCCTTTTACTCTTAGGCTGTGTCCTCATGTCCTACACTCTCCTATCAATGGAAGCATCTTCCCAACATCCACTTTGTCCAGGCCATTCAGTATTCTGAAAGTTTCAATTACAGTCGCCCATCATCCGTCTAAACTCCAATGACTATAGTCCTAGAGTCCTCAAACATTCCTAATGTTAAGCTTTCCATTCCTGGGACCATTCTCGTGAACCTCCTCCAGGGCCAGTACATCCTTCCTGAGATATGGGGCCCAAAACTGCACGCAATACTCCAAATGTGGCCTGACCAGAGCCTTATAAAGCTTTAGTAGTGCACCCCTGCTTTTATATTCAAGTTCTCTCAAAATAAATGCTAACATTGCATTTGCCTTCCTGACTACTGACTCAACCTGCAAGTTTACCTGGAGAGAATCCTGAACTAGAGCTTCCAAGTCTCTCTGCACTTCAGACTTCTGAGTTTTCTCCCCATTTAGAAAATAGTCCATGTTCTTATTCTTCTTACCAAAGTGCATGACCTCACACTTTCCCATGTTGTGCTCCATCTGCCACTTCTTTGCCCACTCTGCCAACCTGTCCAAGTCCTTCTGCAGCCTTGCCACCTCCTCAATACTACCTGTCCCTCCACCTATCTTTGTATCATCTGCAAACTTAGCCAGAATGCCCACAGTTCCTTCATCTAGAAGAATAACGTACGAAGTGAAAAGTTGTGGTCCCAGCACTGACCCTTGCGGAACTCCATTCGTCACCAGCTGCCATCCTGAGAAAGACCCCTTTATCCCTACTCTCTGCTTTCTACCAGGGAGCCAATCTTCTATCCATGCTAGAACGTTGCTCTAACACCATGGGTCCTTATCTTACTCAGCAGCCTCCTATGTGGCACCTTATCAAAGGCCTTCTTGAAGTCCAGGTAGGTAACATCCATTGGCTCTCCTTGGTCTACCCTGCTCGTTACTTCCTCAGAAGAATTCTAGCAGATTTGTCAGACATGACCTCCCCTTGATGAAACTATGCTGACTTTGCCCTATTCTACCCTGCACTTCCAAATATTCAGTAATCGCATCCTTTACAAATGGACTGTAAAATCTTACCCATGACTGAGGTTAGGCTAATCAGCCTGTAATTTTCCATCTTTTGCCTTACTCCCTTTTTAAACAGGGGTGTCACATTAGCCATTTTCCAGTCCTCTGGGACCCTCCCTAACTCTAGCAATTCCTGAAAGATCACCACTAACGCTTCCACTATTTCTTCAGCTATCTCCTTTAGAACTCTGGGGTGTAGTCCAGCTGATCCAGGTGCTTTTTCCACCTTCAGGCCAATCAGTTTTACTGGCACCTTTTCCTTGGCAATGGCCACCATACTCAGCTCTGCCCCCAGACTCTTACATTTTTTAGGAGATTACTCATGTCTTCCACCGTGAAGATTGATGCTAAGTAATTATTCAGTTCCTCAGCCATTTCCTTGTTCCCAACTACCATCTCTCCACCATCATTTTCCAGTGGTGGAATGTCCACTTTTGCCCTTTATATACCTAAAGAAACTCTTACAGTCTTTATTTATGTTACTGGCTAGCTTACCCTCATTTAATCTTCTCCCTCCTTATTTTTTTTTGTAAAAAAAAAAGAAAAGATTGATAATTCCAGATTTTCTTATTTGATAAAATTAAGCTGCTAACGTTTTCTTGCACCTTTTC